CAGACCCGGAACACCGACACATCGCCAACCTCCCCCGTCCAACGCAGTGTAGGCGAGGTCTCCAGCAAGGAGACACGGGGCCAGAGGTTGAGCTGATGCGCATCGTACCGGACCGCAAACGGCCACAGAAAATGGGGAGCAGCCACATGGATCATGGAGGTACGAGCGACCTCCATGACTAAGCCAATGCGGCGCTCGGCAACCCCATTCTGCTGCGGAGAGGCCGGAAGCGTGAAGGACTGGCGGATGCCCTCCCCACGACAAAAGTCCCGCAAGAGGTCAGAGGCGAACTCACCACCTCTATCAGAGTGCAGACGCAGGACAGGAAGGTCCTTGCAGAACCGCTCGCGGAGCTGGAGACGGACAGCGCGGATCCAAGGGATCAAAACACTAGGGACCTCCCCCTTGCTGCGCAAGGGGAAGACCGTGGTGTAACGCAAGTAGGCGTCAACAACCAGCAGAAAGTAGCGCTCGCGGCCCTGTCCACGGACACGGGCTGGGCCCCACACGTCCATGTGGAGAGTCTACAGGGGAGCAGTCGTTGGGGGAAACGAGGAGGAGTGAGGAGCGGTGCGCTGCCGCCCCTCGACATAGGGAAGGCAGGGAGGGGCAGGCGAGGGTGGGAGGGGAGGCAGAGACCCGGGAAGACCAGAGACAAGGAGGTGGGAGTGCATGCCACGGAGGCGTGGCAGGGAGGGGTGACCAAGAATAGCGTCATAGTCAAGAGCAAAGATATCCACACCCTGCCTAAGCAGCTCTATCCAGCGGGGGAGCTCAGTCTCGTCGGGAAACTCTGCGCGCCAGGCGTCGTCAAGACGGGAGAAGCAACGGGACTGTGTGTGACCAACCTTCCCGCATGTCTGACCAGCGGTGTCACCTGTGCGAATCACGTACTGGCAGCGTACACTACCCCCAGACGCCCCACGTTGAGCAAACCACTCACGAAGCTCCTGGGGCGTAGGAGTCTTGCGCGGACGCTGCTGCTGTTGCCTCTGACCACCGCCAGAACCTTCCCTCTGACCGGTTCCACCCCGACCGCCACCACTGCCGCCGCCACCACTCCCACTGCCGCCACCACTCCCACGGCCGCCACCACCGCCGCCACCAACGCCTCCACTCCCACCACCACTCCCTCCGCCACCACCGCCACCTCCACCGCCTCCACCGCCCCCACCACCGCCTCCACCGCTGCCACCCCCACCACCCTTGCCTCCCTTGCCCTTGCCGCTGCGGCGCCTCCCACTAGGAGCAGACGCAGCCCCGACCTCCTCAGCACAAAGGAAGTCAACATCAGCAGCAGAAGCGAAAGAGGGGGCAAGGGGGGAGGGAAAACACCCCTCAAAGAAGGGAGTGCGAGGAGTGCCACGAGCAGCACCTACAGCGACTATGCTAGCCTCAGCTACAAGGAGGTGCTTCTCGAGCAGGTCGACAGTGAGGTCCGTGGAGTCCATGGCGAGAAAGAGGTCCCTGACTGCGCTAAGAGAGTCAGGGAGGCGGGTGACGATGAAGTAGAGAGTGATATACATGGGGGGGTGGGGGGGGGTTCTCGTCTAGAAACTTGGTGGGAAGCGCGGTAAAAGGCTAGGGCAGTATAAGGCGGCAGAGAGCAGCAGTGGCAGGGGAGGAGTAACGAGCGACAACAGCATCGTACAGGGCTTTAGCTGTCTTGTGCTGGCCAGAGTGAGTGCGTTCGGCTAACGGCAAGTGGTTGCGAACGGCTAGGCGAGCAGCAGCGTCATGGTTAAGCCACCGTGAGCGACTCGCACTGTCAGCTGTGTCGGGAGGGGCGAGAGAGGCTCCAGATGTGAGATGAAACAACGAAACGGCGTCTCTAGAATCGCTCAGTAGGTACAGTTGCAAGTCATCGAGTCACGTATCGAATTGGATCGGACGGCCCTCAGGATCGAATGTGAGGACGCAGAGACTGGCCATAGCAGGCAGAGCAGGGTGGTGTGAGAGCAGCAGGGCAGCACGCAAGCAAGGACGGCGCGACGGCAGGGCGGCGCGCAAGCGCTAGGGAAGCTCGCAGGGTATGGCGGGGCGGCGCACGGCTAGGGCAGGGCAGCGCAACTGGCAGGGCAGGGCGGCGGCCAGCAGGGCGGCGGGCGGGCAGGGCAGGGCGGTGCGGCGGCCAGCAGGGCGGCGCACGGGCAGGGCAGGGCGGTGCGGCGGCCAGCAGGGCGGCGCGCAGGCAGGGCAGGGCGACGCGGCGGCCAGCAGGGCGGCGCGCGGGCAGGGCAGGGCGGCGCAGCGCTAGCAGGGCTGCGCGATGGGCAGGGGAGGGCGGCCCGCGACCAGCAGGGCGGCGCGACGGGCAGGGCAGGTCGGCGCGGCGCTAGCAGGGTGGCGCGACGGGCAGGGCAGAGCAGCGCGCGGCCAGCAGTTTGGCGCGCGGGCAGGGCAGGGCAGCGTGAGGCCAGCAGGGCAGCGCGGCGGGCAGGGGAAGGCAGCGCGCGGCCAGCAGGGCAGCGCGACGGGCAGGGCAGGGCGGCGCGGCAGCCAGCAGGGCGGCGTGCGGCCAGCAGGGCGGCGCGACGGGCAAGGCAGGGCGGCGCGGCAGTTAGCAGGGCGGCGCGCGGCCAGCAGGGCGGCGCGATGGGCAAGGCAGGGCAGCGCGACTGGTGGGGCAGCGCGACAGGCAGGGTAGGGCGCTACGAGCAGGGTAACGCGCTACGGGCAGTGAACTATTCGGTGGGCCCTAAAAACGGTCCTGGAACAGGACTTGCTCTGAAACGTGTGTGTGTGTGTGTATGTGTGTGTGTGTGTGTGTGTGTGTATGTGTGTGTGTGTGTGTGTGTGTGTGTGGGTGCGTGTGCGTGCATGTGTGTGCACGTGTGTGTGTGTGTGTGTGTGTGTGTGTGTGTGTGTGTGTGTGTGTGTGTGTGTGTGTGCGTGTGTGCGTGCGTGTGTGTGTGTGTATGTTTGTGTGTGTGTGTTTGTGTTTATGTATGTGTGTGTAGGCGTGCATGTGTGTGTGTGTCGTGGTGACATGCGTGTGTGGATGTGGGTGTGGTTTGCACGTATGTGAGTGTAGTCGTGTGTGAGCGTGCGTTTCAAATTATCGTGTGGGTGCCTGGAATTGGGGGTGGAGATTATGCTGGGAGCATAGGGTATGGATAAGTGGGAGAGAAATAGTGGAGAGAAGTGAGGAATTAGAAAAAGGAGGGAGAGAAGTGAAGGGAGGAACATGCCCCCTTCTCCCATTCCTCTTCCTCTCCGTCTCTGCCCTTGTGTATATTTTCCTTCGTTATAACCCTCTCTGTTGCGCCCCCTTTGCACCTCATTTTTTTCCCTCTGCCTTCCCCCAAAATGTGCACCCATCTCTTCACCTCTCTCACCCCATGTGTGCACCCCGCTCCACTCCTCTCTCAACCCATAGTGCACCCCTCCCGTCTCATATCCCTGCCCCCCAAGTTCCAAGTCTGGAAAGAAGATGAGGCATGGGAGGATAGGGTAGTGTCCTGATAGATGTGCCATCCCACTAAAGCTGTCCTTAAAAGTTGTCCTTCACTGTCTTAACAACTTGTGACGGTGAAGGACATTTTTTTAGGCACCTCAATATCAGCTTGGCCAGAGCCAGATTTGGTGCCATAGCCTTTTTTTCTCTCTCTCTCTCTCCTCTCATCTCATCTCATCTCTGCCACCAGGTGGCACATTTGGAGGGAGAGGGTCACTATACGGCAGTCAAAGACAATCAGGTGGGCCGACCTGCACATGCTACGTTGAAGCACCATGTTTTATGAGTGAATTATTATTTTTAATTCTCAAAAGTGATTTCAGCACAACGTTGTAAGTTGTGATGATGTCCTTGTGAGCAGTACACATGCAACGTTAAGGACCATCCTTCATGACTGAGTCTTCTTTTTTATGAGTATAATTACTGTTACGAGGTGGAAGGGCAACATAGGTGGAAGTGCACATTAGATTCAAAGTTTTGTTTTGTCCCCATTTACTAAACAGATTTTGTCGTCTGCTTTCGCGCATATGCATCCATCCACGGGGCTGTCACACAAGCCGGAGCGGGTCATTTACAGCAAGTTTGCAATAAGCAAGGTGTCTTCTTGCCCTCACTTCTCGCAACCTATCACCTCTCCCTTGTTCCCGTCTCGGGGACCATGCCGGGGGAATCACACAAAATTTGTCCAGTATCTTTACAATGTAGTAAATGAATACATTATCAAGAGAACCGTTGTTTAAAATGACAAACGGACGTCGATACGGCACAGCGTGTCACACAGGCCTATCCTTGCAGAGATATCCATCCGCAATTGTTGGAAACATCACATTTTTCGACCAGATGTTGTGAATGGCGCCTGATATGTCCATCCTGGAAATATAGTAAATGAATTAATGGTCAAAATGACAAACGGACGTCGAACTAGCACCATATCATGCGTATCTTCCACAGTTTCACCTACTCAATAGTCTGATACACCATATGTTTCAACCAGATGCTTCGAATGGCACCAATTTTCTCCAGCATCCTTATAATATAGTAATTGCGTCAATGATTAAGAGAATCCTTGTTTAGGATAACAAACAGACGTCGATACATTACCTCGTATCGCACGGGCCTATTGTTGTACGGTTTTCCCTACTCACTTGTTTGAAACACCGTATGTTCTTACCAGTTGTTGCAAATGGCACCAGATCTGTCCAGCATTCATACATTATAGTAAATGAATGAATGGTTCAGGGAAACCTTGCTCGAAATGAAAAACGGATGTCGAAACGGTATGAAAGCACAGCACAATGAGTGACGATGGGAACACAACACCCATACCTGAAGCACAAGAATCTTCCAAGCTATGTTGTGCTGAATGGCGGTGGACCTTCCAGGGAGGTAATAGTGCCTCGGAGGACCTCCGTGGAAGCGGTCAAGTGATGATGCAGCAGCAGTTGATCATGATAGGCTGGACTGCAATGGCGCAACACACACTGTCGCAATCCGAGCGAGCTCTATACAAGGTGTGAAAACATGGCAAGCATGAAATTGAGGGTTAGGCTGGCAAACATGGCAAGGGAAGGGAAGGGGAATTGGGAGGATTAGGCTATTGCAGAAATTTCATGCATCTTATTGAGGTGAAACACGACCCCTTACCACCTGAAAACCGTTGCTTCACCTGGTAACAGCCGCCTCAGACCTGGACCCGCCGCCCCAGACCTGCTAGAACCGTCCTAACAGCTCCAGCAGCCGCTACAACCGTGCTAGCAGTGCCAGCAGCTGCTAGAAATGCGCCAGTAGCCCCACCTGTCCAGCAGCCCCACCTGTCCAGCAGCCCCACCTGTCCAGCAGCCCCACCTGTCCAGCAGCCCCACCTGTCCAGCAGCCCCACCTGTCCAGCAGCCCCACCTGTCCAGCAGCCCCACCTGTCCAGCAGCCCCACCTGTCCAACAGCCCCACCTGTCCAGCAGCACCACCTGTCCAGCATCCCCACCTGTCCAGCAGCCCCACGTGTCCAGCAGCCCCACGTGTCCAGCAGCCCCACGTGTCCAGCAGCCCCACCCGTCCAGCAGCCCCACCCGTCCAGCAGCCCCACCAGTCCAGCAGCCCCACCAGTCCAGCAGCCCCACCTGTCCAGCAGCCCCACCTGTCCAGCAGCCCCACCTGTCCAGCAGCCCCACCTGTCTAGCAGCCCCACCTGTCTAGCAGCCCCACCTGTACACCAGCCCCACCCGTCCAGTAGCCCTACCCGTCCAGTAGCCCCACCCATCCAGTAGCCCCACCCGTCCAGTAGCCCCACCTGTCCAGCAGCAGCTTAGGCTGCCCCAGCAGAACCAGCAGCAGCGCAGGCTGCCCCCAGTAGAACTAGAAGCAGTTTAGGCTACCGCCAGCGCATCCCCCCCCCCCCCCCCCCCCCCCCGTTTCCAGCTACTCACATGGCGTGTACTAGAGATCTACAGCAGCAGGGCCAGCCGCAACACTCTTGGCAGTGGGGACATGAGGGTCCTAGGAGTACCGGCCGTAGCGGCGGCTCAGCCAGTAGTGGGCGCGACGTCGGTCCCTGCGGGTACCAAATCCTGACTGGCCCGGGTGCTGGCACCACCTGCTGGAGTCCTGACCACTATGCGTCCCGCTGCTACCGTCGCCTTGACGACCTCCACCGTGGGCGTTTTGGTCCTCACGCTATTACACCGCACTGGCCCTCGCGTCTTCGCCAGCGCACTGCTGTACCAGTTGAGTCTCACCTACCTGGTCTAGGACCTTTCCCTGCTGCACGAGTAGAGACCTGCGTTTCCAGTCTTGGTGCGTGTGTTGTTTCCAATCCGGGCGCCTCTGAGCGTCTTTGTGTAGGAGCTGCAGCTACCACTAGTCTAGCACCAGCCTTTGTCGCTAGCTCGCGACCTCACAGACGGCACAGCTTTCCTTCACCCAAATTTGTCTAATTCGTCGAGATCTTCCTGTATGTCTGGACGACCTTGGCTGGCTGGTGACGCGAAACGTGAAGTCCACTTCGCGTGCACGCCGGAATAGATGATAGATATTTGAAGACTATTTGAGTGGATGATTGAAGACTATATCTCTTTTTTAGCTAAAATTGTCAAATGTAATTCTATGCTTATAGGCTACAGTGAGTAGCACAATAGGGAGTACAGTTGTTAGGGTTGCATATTTGTACTTCCACACTTGCTAGTTTCATCATTCCGTTGCATGCTATTTCAGAGATGGTATCATCGTTAGGTTTAGATCCTCGCTCCTCGCCCTAGCCGACGCGCCCTCCGTTCCGCGCCCTCGCGCCCTCCGTCGCGCCTAGCGCCCTCCACGCCCTCCGTCGCGCCTAGCGCCCTCCGCGCCCTCCGCGTTTCTAGCGCCATCGCGCCCCTTAGTGCGGCCCTCGGCCCGCCACTCCGTCGCGCCCCTCAGCCCGCCCCTAGCACGCCCTTAGCGCGGCCCCTCGCCACGCCCTTAGCGCGGCCCTCGCCACGCCCTTAGCGCGGCCCCTCGCCACGCCCTTAGCTCGGCCCTCGCCACGCCCTTAGCGCGGCCCCTCGTCGCGCCCTTAGCGCGGCCCTACGCCCGCCCTCCACGAGTCCCTTAGCGCGGCCCTCCGCCCGCCCCTCCGCGTGCTCCGTAGTGCGCCCCTTCCGCGGCCCCTAGCCCGGTCCTTAACGCGGCCCTCTGCCCGAGCCAGTTGCGCCCCTGCACCTCCGCACCTACCCTCGCCACGTGGCCGGCCTCACCCCTCCTCCGCCCTGTTTTCCGGGCCCTCACCATTCTCCCCGTCACTGGCCTTCGCCTCAGCAGCTGGCAGCCGCTCATTCTTCCGGTAGCTAGTCGTAGTACGGACTCCTCCCTAGCTCCTAGCCGTTCTCCGTCTCGCCTCGCATGCTCCTTCCACTGTCGGTTCACTCGTAGCCCTCTAGCTGGCGCCTCTCACCCTTAGTAGCCGTCCTCCTCGTTCTTAGCTCAGCCTCTGCCGAGCTCCAGCCGCCTCTAGCATGGCATCCGTCATGGAGTCCCGTCGCCCCCGTTTCGACGCGGAGGGACGCCCGATAGAGTTTAGCACCTGGCAGCGCCAGACCACGCGCTTCCTCACCAGCCAACGGCAGGATGGCGCCACTCTGTGGGCTCACGCGTCTGGTGCCCTACAAGCCCCCCCGTCCCCCGCCGCCCTGCCGACCGCCCCGGAGCCGACCCCTACGGCCCAGGCGGACTACGACCGTCGGGTCCTGGCCAGGGACGTGTGGCTCTCGCGTGACGCAGCCGCCGCTCTCACTCTGTCGGAGCTTCTCCCCCCAACTGAGGCCGCCCACTTTGACCACGTGGAGACTGCACAGGGGGTTTGGGAGGCTATTGTTGCTCGCTACTCCACCCCCTCCTCTGCCTCCCTCAGTCGCCTCCTCATGCCGTTTGTGTTTCCCGACCTAGGCTCGTTTGCGACTGTTTCCGACCTAGTGACTCACCTCCGCTCGCTTGACGCCGGTTTCCGCGCTGCCTGTACCGATGCACAGCTTCTTGTTGCTCCCCCCCCCATGTGGCTCACTGTTCACTAGTTAGTCACCCGCCTCCCTGACCGCCTTGCCACTGCCCGCGACGCGCTTCTTCAGAAGCACCCCACTGAGCTCACTATCGACCTCCTAGCGACTGCTCTAGGGACCATCGAGAGCAGTCTCCTCACCGTTGCCTCCGCCACTGATGCGGTGGCCCCCCGTCTCTTTGCGAGGTGTGCCGCCCCTCAGCTTCCCACTTTCACCGCTACCCGCGCCTCTGCTGCTGTGTCGGTTTCTGAGGACACTGCTGCCGTTTCTGCCGCAGACTGGCAGAAACGGGGCAAGAGTGGCAAGAAGGGCGGGAAGGGGGGAGGTGGGGGCGGTGGAGGCGGCGGTGGAGGTGGCGGTGGAGGTGGGAGCGGCGGTGGTGGCGGAGGCGGCGGCGGCGGCGGCGGTGGTGCACCAGGGGGAGGGGGCCTTGGAGGAGGCACAGGACAGACAGGCCCACCCACAGGTGGTGGCCCGACCGGTGGGGGCGTTGCCCCCCAGCAGCAGCAGCCACAGCAGCACCAGCCACAGCAGGGACAGCAGCAGCAGCAGGCACCGCAGCATTTCCAGCAGTGGGGGCCCCCGCTGCAGTGGGGTCCGCAGCAGCACTGGGGTCCCCCGCCGCAGTGGGGTTCGGGAGGCCCTGGGAGCACCGGCCGCAGCAGCAGCTCTTCCAGCTGGGCCCCTCGCCCCCCTCGCCGTGACGCTGGCCCGTGCACCCACTGGTGCGTCACCGGGCCGGGTAGCCCCTGTCTCTGTGGTCGCGACGACCACTCTGCCGCGCGGTGCTTCCGCCGCCTCGACGACCTCTACCGGGCTCGTTGGGGCCCTCTGGCGGTCACGCCTCGCTGGTCTCGTCTGTTAGCCCGTAAGATTGATGTCTTTGATTTGTCCATGGACGATGCGCGTCAGCATGCTTTGTATGTTGATGCTGACTTTAGTGCTGATGGATCTGTGTGCTCGCGTGTTCGTAGGTTAGCCTGCTTGCCTCCTGCTAGTGTAGCCTTGTGCCTGTCTAGCTTAGGTGCTTGTGTTGCTGCTCTAGGTGCTTGTGTAGCGACTGGGTCAGGTGACCCGCCGGCTGAGGCCTCTCTGTCGTTTACGCTGGACTCGGGCGCGTCTCAGTGTTTCTTCCGCGACCACACGACCCTTACACCACTCCTCACACCTGTGTCGGTGGCTCTGGCTGATCCTACCTCTGGACCAGCCGTTGCGCGTAGCTCCACCACCCTCCCGTGCCCTGTGGTCCCCTCTGGTGTCCTTCGCGGCCTCCACATCCCCTCGTTCACTCGGAACTTGGTGGGTGTTGGATACCTCCAGGACAGGGGGATCACGGTTACCTTCGTGGGGGGTGGGCGGACTGCAGTCTGTACAGACGCTACCACAGGTGCTGTTCTGGCCACGTTCACCAGAGAGCCCCGCTCCGGTCTCTACGTTCTCCACACCGAGCGCTCCCTGGTCGCGTCCTCCCCTCAGGTCGTTGCGTCCCCTCCGGCCCAGGTCCCTAGTCCAGTTGCTGTGTCTAGCCAGGTAGTAGTGTCCGGTCCGGTCGCTGTGCCCAGTCCAGTCGCTGCGTCTTGCTCCTGTCGCTCTCTCACCCACCGCACCGTCCTGTGGCACCACCGCCTTGGCCACCCGTCGCTCCCTCGCCTACGTGGCATGCTCAGTCAGGGACTTGTCTCAGGTCTCCCACGCACCTTCCCGTCGCTCCCTCTCTCGCTTGCCCCTCCTTGCTCTCCGTGCGTCGCCGGTCGCTTACGCGCCACTCCCCACTCCTCCTCCCTTCGTCCGGCCACCGCTCCCTTCGAGACTCTCCACTTGGACGTCTGGGGCCCTGCCCCGACGCAGGGGTCTGCTAAGAAGACGACTTCTGGTGGTCGTTGACGACTTCTCCAGGTACACCACAGTGTTCCCTCTTGCGAAGAAGTCCGAGGTGACTGCTACGCTGATCAGGTGGCTTCTAGCCACTGAGGGCACTCGTGGTCGTCGAGTCAGTTGTCTCCACTCCGACCGTGGGGGCGAGTTTCGCTCCGGCATTCTCGGCGGATTCTGCGGCAAACAGGGCATCACCCAGTCCTGGACGCTGCCAGAGTCCCCACAGCAGAATGGGGTTGCTGAGCGCCGCATAGGCTTGGTCATAGACATCGCCCGCACGTCCATGATCCATGCCCGTGCACCCCATTTTCTGTGGCCCCACGCGGTTCGCTACGCCGCACACCAGCTGAACCTCCAGCCGCGTGTCTCGCGGCCCGAGGTTTCCCCGACCAGTCTTTGGACTGGTTCCCCTGGTGTCGGGTCGGCCTTTCGAGTCTGGGGCTGCCTTGCACTTGTTCGCGACACCTCCGCGGACAAGCTCTCGGCACGCGCCGTCCCCTGTGTCTTCCTTGGTTTCCCAGTGGACTCTGCCGACTGGTCCTTTTACCACCCTCCCCTCCACCACTTCCTAGACTCCCGTGACGTCCGGTTTGACGAGTCCGTGTCCTACTACACCCGGTACCCCTGTCGAGGTCTCCCGGTACCCCCTCCCCCTCTTTTCCTCGCACCCTCTCCTCCTCCTGCTCCCGCTCCTCCGGTACCCCCCCCCCCCCCCCTGGTCCTGCCCCGTCTGGTGTGTCCCACGTTACCCCTCTACCCTCGGTCGCACGTCAGGTAGCGTCTCCCTCCCCGCAGTCCTCCTCACAGTCCCCTCAGCAGCCTTCGGCACTTCCGCGACAGGTTACTGTGGACTCGGTTG